GCAAGACTGGTAACAATGCCATCGAAATGTCCCAGGCATTCAACGACATCGCACAGTTCAATCATTTCACAGATCTAAACCTGTTTAAAAATTCCTTCAATGTCATTCAAAACTGGGAAACGGATGTTTTACAATTTTATTTGATGGTGCTTGTTTTTTTGTTAGCAGTTATGGTAGAAGGAGATGAAAGTAGCCGGCTAAGGATGGCCAACTAGCCAGTGGTTTTGGCCAGCTATTGGCCCTTGTTGACAGCCCTGTTTGCAAAACAACGCATAAGGCACATGACAAGTCTAAAGTCTGTCCCATTCAACACGCTTGCATATCACTCACACCTCTATCCCTGAGGAAATTGAGATACTAGTCTTAATCTAAGGAAAGAGAATTTACAAAATCAAAAGTTTCTGAGGAGCTTTTCTTAGCCTGAGAAAACAGTTGACATTTGGCGGCACTACCACTGGTTTCCCCGCCAAATGATGTCTGATTGGTTGAATCAAACTTGCAACGCGGCACGACCAATCAGAAGCACTACCCAGATCTGGGTAGTGATGCATCATCAGTATGGAATTTCTGCGCTTGTTTCTCAGACGTCATTTGGCAGGGAAACCAGTGGTAGCATTGCCAAATGTCGGCTGTTTTCTCAGGCTAAGCTTTTCTGAGACAAATCCCAAATAGAAAATTCGACCTTCAAAAAATTGAGTTGTTAAGAAAGTCTAAATATACACGTATGGAAATAAAATGGAATTGAAGCACGTACGGCTAAGCTTTAAAACCAAAATAAATCATTTAAATTTAGCACAGAGAATTTAACTTGAACATGCACTACTTTAGGATCGCAGTGGATGTTACCCTGAAAATTCAACTCCATATCTTGGTGGATATCCTCTGAGTCTCTCACCACTGGAATTGTATCTTTAATACAACAAGACAAGAGTTTATAAAATAGTAACCACTCAAATTGGGCACCCCAATTTTCAGGGACGTTTCTAAGAGCTGGCTGCCTGCTTATAGGCCACTTTGAAAAATACCATAATATTCTCAAATTGTCATTTGGGTAGTGCTTCGTGTAAACCTCATTTTTGTATCACCTTTTTTGTATGATTTGTACATGCAATGAGTCCAAAATTTGCACACTCAGTGTATTTGCATTCAAACACAGATGTGCTAACCTTCAGCATTGGCTGAAGTATAGTTTAGTACTTTTGTATTTTTAATACATTCAGAAGTTTGGCTACAAGTGTGAGTTGGAAGGACTCTTTAATAAGGAAGCTTATGTTCTAGTGCTTGCAAGCCTCCAATACATACTCTGAATTCTATAGTCATGTCATCGTAACAAAAAAAGGCCAGAATAATTTATTATTATGCATTATTGATTATTATGTTACTTTCGGAAATCAGCCATTGCACATGCAGTTAATGTAAAAAGAACAAAAGATAATGTGAACATCGGGTTTACATGAGACTCTGCCAAATGGTAATTTGAGAGTACATAATTATTACAGTATATTCAAAGTGACCTATTTCACTGGCTGAAAAAGAACTTACCATCAGCTCAAAATTGCTCTAGAAAACAAAGACATGGGGGATTTTGAAGGTGCAGTTGAGCAAAAAAGCCAGCTTGACAAATAAAAAAGTGAGCTAAGCTTTTCCTTAGCTTCATTTCTGCATGTCATCTTCTCACAGCGTTAAATGTTACCCAAAAATCAGAGCTATGACACCAGAAATTTGTTTTGAAAGAGATACATGTAGCCAAGCACCCTTAATATTGTCCTGAAAATGTGAAAAGTTAAGCAATGGAAAGGGTGTGGTGGCATAGCCATGAAGGGTAACAGCTCCAAATAACTATTGGCTGAAAACTTTGGGTGAGATGACTTACAGATGATTTGACCACAAAGCTTTAAAAAACGCTGGATCTGTCCTAGCCTGAGAAAATATTCGACATTTTGCAACACTACATGTGCAACTGGAATCTTTTTCTCAGGCTGGATAGGTCCAGGAGTAAAAATATATACTTTACAGGGATAAAAACACAATTACAGTGACTGAGAAGTCGACATCCTAGGCACAGCACAACTAAAAACGGAAAATACAGTACAAATAAACCCTATGTAGCGGCAAACCAGAACAGAATAACGCTAAAAAGGTACATCAAACAAAAGTTCCATAGCAGCCGTAAGCTCTAACTAAATTACGTTGCAACCTTGAAATAATTCGTCAGCACAGTTTTATAACTGTTTATAACAACAAATTTCAAAACGTAACTACAAAACGCCTTCTACACTTTTTCTAGTACGAAAAAAACACACCAGAGTTAACCTTTGACCAACAAATAGAAGAATATTATCGACATGAGAACCAATCTTGAATGAAACAGCTGCACCATAAAATAGTACAAATTTTCGCGCATGTAAGAAAATATAACAAATATTTTGCTACTCACCGATGAGGTGGACCTCTAGACATACTCTAAAGTCTGTTTGCTGGCCGTAAATGATTGTTTTGGGCGTAGAAATGGCTTTGTTGCTTGCTAAGCTCTCCAGTAATAAGCTTTGACAAAGCCGCCATTTTGAGAACTAACAGACTGCGAAGGGCTTGGTACGGTATGACGTCACAACTTTTTGAGGCCAGCTGAGAACAGCTGAACTTACAGAAACATATAATCAACTGGAAGTCACTGCGATTTGTTTGGAGATGCTTTAGAAGGTGTGTTTTTCCAAATTTGAGCAGTTAGTTGATCTTAAAATACCAAAAGCACTTAACCACTGACCCGTGAGCTATTAAAACGAGGAAGAGTTCACGCAGACCTCGTAATCGGAAGGAAACGCTCAAGAAGTCACTTAGCCAAGGAAGGTTACAAACCGCACATTTGCAAGTAACAAAGGTTTTTGGCCATTTCAACACAAAAAAATATGCGGAAACTTCACTTAATACGTGAAAGGAGCACGCTTTCATCTAGGAATTGTTCCGAGATTAATGAGACTTCGAAATAATTTTTTTCCCCAGCTGGGACGATCTAGATTAAGACAGTTGTTCTATTTCATCTTAATTTTTCTCCCCAGTAACTGGAGAAAATCGTATCAGGCTTTCGTTCAGGTTTTCACGGCCGCACGGCCGATACAAAAGGAACGAGTACAATTTCCGCAAATTTGGTCAATGGTCAAGAGAGTGTAGTCAAGACAGGAGCCGTATGAGCTATCTGGACAAATTGAACTTTATTAAAACGAACCAGATATGTTTTATAAAGGTCCGTAAATGATGCAGACAATGTAATGATATTGTTCTACGATGTTTCACCCAGGTCTAGTTTTTCTTGGCTGCACAATGCTGTACTCTGTTGAGAGTTGCCGAGACAGAATTTTATCACTGAGTTCTCTGATCTATTTGTTAGTGTTGCCCGGCCCCGATGCTTGCTTTAACTGAAAACAGTTAACAATACGAGTGACCTTTTTTTTCAAATTTTGGAGAAGGCCGGTGTAATGTATGGATAAAAAAAACGTTAAAAATTCCTTTTTGTGCTGAACGTAAAATGTGCATAACTTCTATCCGATCGATTTTTTTTCAATTGGTACTCAATACCCTCCGTGGTCATTATCGTCCCAAGAGCTACTAGGCTTAATTTGTAATCACGTGACCAAGAAACGACGGGCTCTGGGGATGAGAATGAACCGTGGTCAACTATTGGTCAATTGGTTAACTATAAGGTCAACTAACACATGATTTCACTTAAGATCGTAGGCCACTTCCGAGAGACCGAAGCCACTTTTTCAAACGAGTTTGGGTACTGTTTCTCTGGGGCAGCTTAAACATCGTTGAAAAATTACATACAGTGTGCAAGCTCATCCCCTGGGCTTTTTAAAATTGATAAACGCGGTTAGATTTAGGAAGCCGATTAAAATCACGTTATTTTTATCGGACTTTGTCTATTTTCGTTAATTGAGCCCTCTAAATTGACCGGCAAAGCAAGTCTTTTTTATAGGAAAATGTCACGGTCACATGACTAAAAACAATGTCTTTCAAAGAGCTGCAAGTCACGCTTTGTTACAGACTAGAATAAACTTTAAAAACTCCGCGCCTAAAGCCCCATTCACACCAAAGCTTAAACGTTTTAAGAAGCTGTTTAGTTGAACACGGTTAAAATTTTTTTCCTTTATAAAGCTGATCACTGACTTAAGTTGATTGCAAATTTAGTGCAAATTACATCTCATTTGAATCCCTTGTGAAAAACAGTGTTCAAGTTTTCTGGGATGACACTTTGGTGTGAATGGGGCATAAGTCTTCAACTTTAAACAGACGTTGTAGGCTTCAATTTTTTTTGAAATTCTACCTATGTACAATTTGTAATCGTTTTTATTAGCCTGCGAGCAAGCTCACCATTTGGGCAAACATAAGGAACCGCGCGAGAACGCTTGCTGTCGCGTCTCATCTCGCGTGCCACTCGCGCGGGTACTTTTCACGATATCTCCCAAATGGGGAGCTTGCTTGCAGGCTATCGCTTTTATTTGACCTCTTCACAGCTTTCAACGGTTTTTTTAAAATTTCTAATTCCCTTTTTCTTTTTAGTTTGTAGCATAAGTGCTAAAATTATTATAACAGCGACATCTGATCATTGACCCCTTTAAAAAGAGGGCGTTTTTTTTTTTACAGATAATTAAGTTTTAGGTATTTAAGCTTTATCAGCGTCTTAATGGGTGATTAATCATTCGTTGACGTATAATAAGGTTTGATAATTCTAACACATTGCGAATGAATACCAAATGATTCTGTGTAAGGACCATTTTAGAGTATTTGCTGGAAGCTTTTATCTTTTAGACTGTTACGTAAGCTTAGATCTGTCGTTTCATGAATCCTTACATGTCCTTGCCGACGGGTAGAATCGAAGAGCGTCTTTTCCGCGATCTCCGTGGAAAAGACGTTTGAGTGAAAAACAGTGGAATATCAGTCAAGCCGATCAGATGCAATTTTCCTAACTGCAATGCTAAAGGAAGCGTCATCACATTGCCAACATGGAAGCAAGAAAAGCGAATGCAAGGGAGGACAGTAAGACGAATACAGTAACCAGCTTGACAGCTGTCAAGCTCAAACAAAAAGAATATACGAAAAACGGTTGCAAGGAAGACACCATGAACAAGCCAGCAAAACAATTGACACCGCTTTTAAGCAAGCTAAGGCGAAGCTATGAGAACCACGTCAAATCGAAAGCTGACGGTTCTAAAGGAAGCCATAAGGCGCAAGCGAAAGCGGGATTAAGTAGTACAAAGTTTCAAAATGATCCTGTCAAGCAAAGGAGGAAATCGTACAGTGGTCCATCGTATACATGTAGAAAAAAGAACTTTCAATTTGGCCGAAAATTTTTAAGGAGCAAATCTTGGGGAAGCCGAGAGCTGACGTCACAACCTCAAAGACAAGCCGATGGCCAGATTGTGGGGGACTTTCAGTGTAATGAGAACGAACCAAAAAATATCTCTAATGAGAACAAAGTTGACAAAAGCGTCATGAGTGTGAGCCAACCGAACCGTGTAAGCCTGTATAGCATTCTTAGATATTTTGAGCTCAAAGCGTTGAAGCTTCAAAGAAGACCTGAACAGAAATGGGGTATCGAGCTGACGGAAGTCGACGAAGAGTCATCAACGTGTCAAAATTACACAGAAATCAAGAATAAAGCGAGGCCGTTACTTTCATTCAATTCTATCACTGACCAAAGTGACGAAATCTCTCCTCCATCAATTACCCATACTGGTCTTTTAATGACTGAATTACGAGAGAGTTTCAGAAGAAGTGTGAAACATAGAAAATGTGGAATAAAGGAACCCCTTTCAGTTGTTTCCACAGAAGAAAATCATCAGCCTCGGCATGGAGTGCGCATTACTGGATTGACCGAGCACGGAGTGGCAGTCAGAGACGGAATGCTTGCAGTTGACGATTTGATTGTGGAGGTCAGGATTGTGAGTTACTCTTTTAATTTTAGTGTCCAAAAGGAAAAAGTGACCTTTTTACAAAGAGGATGAATTTACAATGAAAGAAAGAGGTGAAAGAAAGAAGTGAATTTAACTGACGTGCAGGCGATTCACAGACCGTCTCTCTTCCTGTTTTTTTATTTTTCGGAGGGGAGGGGGGCGGGAGGGCTAGCCACAAGCGGGCTCGAGGGAAACTTGATGTGGTACCCGGCTGCCTATCTTGACTTTGTCTCTTAGTCCTTTCTCCAATAATTTCCCATAATTCTTAGAAACCCTCGCCAACCCCCCCTCCGCCCCACCCCTCCAAAACCACCACTAACACCATTGGCGAGATTGAACTGCTAAAATATCTAAAGAAAGCTAATCTTACCGTTGTGACAACTTTAATAGTTCTTTACCTATAATGTTTTTAAGGCAACAGTTGACTGTTATTCTTCTGTTTGTTAGATCAGTGGTGTTATTGTTCTGGATGTGTCATTCGAAGAAGTTGTTACCATGCTAGAAGAATCCCTTACTCTGAATTTGGTGGTGCTCAGAGGAAAGCAGAGATAAAACAAAAAACATTGCTCTTGTGAAGTACATTCAGGCAATTCAAGGCTCAATGTAGGCTCGTTGAATATCTACTTGATGGAAGCGAAACTTTTAAAATTTACCATTAAGTAGTCTTTGTAGTATACTTTGGTATTACATAACTATTCCATCCGTACCACTCTAAAGTTTATGTTTTGGGTAGCCTAAGTTGCAAGGATTTCCGCCCGAGTTCGTTGAGAAAATTGGAACAAGAGCAAAAAAAAAGGGATGAAAGGGGAAGGATGAAAAGGAAACTGCGCCCTGCCCCTTCCCCTACCTCCATCTTTTTTGTTCTCGCTACAACTTTGATCGGAAACGCTTGCTACACAGGCCATCTTTTGGGTGTTCCTCTTTTCTGTTTATATCTTTTAAAGTAAAACATAAATGCCATGTGTCTTACATAAGTCGTGCGTAAAATTGTACGCAAATCTGTTATTTGTAAGAGCATATATGACTTTTCTAAGCTAAATCAGTGAGACGCTTGGTCAGAATATTTACTAGTGTACGAGAGAAGGTAAAAAGTGCGTCTCATTTTTGCTTGTACAAACGGCAATACGCCTAGATCTGGAAAATTCTACTGTAGAAAGATAAGTCGGGTCTTCTAAAAGCAAAGAGGAAACACACAAAACTTCTTTTGAAATTTGAAGAGTAAAATTCTAACAGTTGATTAAACTTCTGGGGTTTATAATTTAAAACTAGAACACACTTTTAAAACTGATTTCAGGTTCAAGTTCTATGAAACCCCTAATACAAATAAGCGTTGTCCAAGCGAGGTTCTCAAGCAAATGGCTTGGCTGGAGCAGGGAACCCAATGTTGACCGTGTTATTGTTATCCGCCAACACTCGTACTCCTAAGTACGAGAGCAACCCATCCACAGTCAAACCTTGACTGCGCATTATACTAGCATACGCTTCCGCTTCCGCTTCCAAGGCAGCGAGAATACTAGAAGCTTCCGCTTCCGCTTTGGATAGGATGACCTTGCTGTCTGATGTAGCTTTCTGAACATTTATGAGTCCCTGCGTAACAGCTTCCTCCTTTGCAGTATTCGCCTCGATCAGCGCGCGCGGTCGTTGATTCCGCGCAATTTCAATGTTTTCCTTGACAGATTCCTTGTTTCTCACCACAGTTTCATATTCCGATGGCCGCTTGATGTTACTCACTTGGAGGTCGGTTATATCAGCGTTCACACTCGTAAAGCGCTTTACCATTATGGTATAGACGAGTTCTTGAAAATAAGAGCGACGGGTTTGGAACTCGCTGGTATTGAATTGGCTACAAGCGTCCTGGATGCTCGCACGGGCCAGAAACCTGCATCATATTTAAACGCGCAAAATAAATACATACTTAGACAACGGTTTTCTTTTGATAATTTGCAATGATACACTTTTTTATAGAGCGTTTTCACATGACGTCACGGCGGCCATGTTGGTGTTTCAAACCAGTCCTGTGGGAGTTGAACTCTTTTCTTATGTAAACGCTTTCTTTTGTTCTCATAAATTTTCATAGACGCTGGCCCAGTGAGTGAAAATGCCCTATTGGCCGGAAAATCTCGCACCATTCGCAGAAATCAGTTAATGGCAAAAGCATGTCACAGGCGTGTTCTTTCGTTTTATACCTCTCATTAGGCTCAATTTCCGCCGCCCTCTCGGCCCTCCCCGAGAGTCTGTTCATGGGAGGAGCTCGGGCTGATTTCCCGAACAGGGTCAGCATTAGATTCCATCGGCCGTAACCCCTTTCTCCCCTTATGAATTTACACAAGATAGAACTGTTTTTTGCTTTTACATCACACTTCGATGATATTTCAAGGTGGACTGAATGTTCATAAAAGTGCAAGTCTCTTCAATTTTAAAGAACAAAAAATTGATAGGAAGGACAGTAGGATTCGAACCCACGACCCAGACGGTTCAGTTTACTACGCTAACCACTAGGCTCGATTACCAGCCGAGCCTACCTAACCACTAGACCACTGATTATTAGCTGGAACGATGGTAGGAAATAATTTAAGTACACATAGAATCAACCCCAACGCTAAAAAAGAACCTAACCAGTTTCGAAACAGTGTTTAACCCTAATCAGTAAAGGCAGTCCTTAACCCTAATCAGTAAAGGCAGTCCTTAACCCTAATCAGTAGAGGCAGTGCTTAACCCTAATCTGTAAAAGGCAGTGCTTAACCCTAATTAGCAAAAGGGAAACCTACGTTGTGTAAATTTCATGAGGTGTCCGAAGGGGCTACGGTCGATAGGATCTAATGATAACCCCCGAACCCTAACCCCTGATCTGGTTCCGATAGACTGAAGCAGTAGTAAAAAGTCCAGAATTTGTGCCTTGGATGCGCACTTTTTTTTTCAAAAAACTAGTCTTAGGGACAGTATAGTCTGGAACTTTCATATATTCTAGGTATACTTTTATGTCAAAAATTCCTGACTGGCCCCAGACTTCTATGTAATATGATAACTAACTAAATTTAACTACTCAGGAAAATCTACCCAGTCACTATGCCAGTCCCTGTCTTTTTAATAAGGCCTCACAGTCAAGCACTTTAGTGACACATAACGATTTCTCTCGGATCCATGGTAACATTGAAAAGTTAACAACGTCTTACCAAAGTAATCCTTTTTGGCGGGGGCCAAAGACTTTTCTCGTCTCCAGAGCTGCGATCTTTTGGCCAGCGCCACGGATCGATCCGTGGAGAAGAAAAAGGACCAACACCATTCTCGTCCCCAGGGCTTGTCGTTTTGTTTGGTAACTTTAAAAATAAGCCTAGTGGCCCTGGGGGGAAGAATGGCGCCAACACATAATCCTGCTCATGCGCACTACTGCTAACGGTGCGCAATTCATATATATAATGACGCAATAATAAATAAAAGACTTGAAACTAGGCAAACAAGGAGCTTTACTTTTCATTTCCAGCCACATCAAAAGTTTCATGAGGTTACTTACTTGATCATTTTGACATAATTGTCATGATCCTTAAACTCCATGATAATGTCTCTTAACTTCTGAGGCCTTGCGCGGTACTGAAACTCGATCTGCAGCTCAATGTCCACGCCTTCGCGATTAAGACATTCCTCCTTATCAAACTCCAGGGTTTTGAAAACGCTTGGAAACTTGATAAATTTGAAGCCAGGTGCACCATTATGTAAGCCAGCTTTCTTAGTATCGGAGGAGAGTTTCTTTTGATAGGTGTCATACGCAACACCAACTGTTGGAAGTAAGAGAAAAGAAACACAGCTCGCACACGATCCGTAGGTAACCTGTGCCACGCTGTTAGGTAGTGTAGACGTCGCGGAAACGAGGTCAAGGGAAAACGGGACGCGCGTGATCTAGGAAAGAGGGAAGCGGCGGGAAAAAATGACCTTCTATCTCCCCAGCCCCCGCGCTTTTTTCCCATCACTTTGTACGATCTCTTCACATTACTATCTTGAAACCTGGTGACAGGCTAACCCATAGAAGTCTTCGTATTTTAAAGCTGTTTCGCCAAGGATGGAATGTTACTTCATCGAAGTGTTGCACCATGTTGCTGATAACGATTTCAAAAGAATACTTAGACAGGAGCCCTTGGGTGCCTATGAACTTTCCACCCCCGTTAAGACAAAAAGGAAAGTAATCATGAAACAACCAGATTATCGCGAATAAAAAGACAATCATAATTTACATTTTGTCGGCTGAATCCAGTGATCAACTGGTGGGAAAATCGATAAAATTATTCCACCTGTCAGAATATTGCTAGCCTGTGTAATAGGCGCTAGGAATTAATGGGCGCAAGAAAAAACGGGCGCGCGCGAGGGAGACCCGCTTGTCTCCCTCGTAGTAGTAGGCTCAGTCTTTACGCTTGCAAAACGTTTATTGAACTAAGCCCACTGTGGAATGTTGGACCAAGAGTTCCCTAATTTTCAAGAGCAGGCCGACAATCCTTCGGTCGAAAACTGAAACCACGAAAGTAAAGGTCGCGACAAGGAAACATTTCGGGCGGGTCACAAAGAAGGCTTGGCAGAATGACCGAAGGCGGTAGCCACGCAAGGAAAGTTTCTGGTACCTAGGGTAGGAGGTTGGGAGTAGGATGTTTCCATTCTAACAAGAAAGGATGGCCTAAACTTCAATATCGAAAATTCTATTTACCCCGGTACATTTCTTCACCTCGGTTCCGAGCGGAGAGTACGTCGGAGCAGAGTTAATTATATCTGGAGATACACCGTATCAGCTCCTGACTGTATCAAGTTGGGACTCTGAAAAGAATCCACCACGATTACGGACCTTCACGAATGACAGCATCCATCTCAGAACTCCAAAAAAAGAAACTAAAAGCAATTTTGCTTGGATTAAGCATTTCAATTTCCCCGGAGGTATTTCAGTTGCTAGCCTGCGAGAGCATCCGGTTTTTTCGGCATTCAGTTGAGGAAGTTTTTTGCAGATGCCTCTCACCCAGCCCTCCACGCAACGTAGTATGCGTTAGACACTAAAGTTCGCTTCTTTTTTTCAAAATCTAAACCTTGATCGCCTGATATCTGGAGCCCACAATGGCAATCCACTCAGTGGCTAAGAACGAAACCTATACGCACTTTTTACATTATTATCCTTTTAATAAGATTCAGGCAGTCACGCACCCGCGCAAGAGCTTCTATCTCCTCCACGCCCTTTTTCGAGGCACTTATTAGCGAATCGGCGTTTTAGAACAGATTAAAGTGTATAAATACTTATTAAAAATACTTTGTAGTTCGTAGTAAACAAAGAAGAAGGGAATTAAACTACTTTCCATCCTCATATCTCCAAAAGTAATCCAAAACGTGACATGGCCTGAACAGGTCATTTTAACCCGTGTTTATCCCTTAGGGACTGAATCAATTAACGCGGATCTATACTCCGATCCCTGTCGCTGGGCCGCAGAGTGAGATAATTGCGGTGCTTGTAAAAGCACATCAAAGTATTTTCATTTTCTATTCCACATTTACGATGTTATGCAGCGGTTTCATAAGGTCTGATAAGGTAGGAAGCTCAAATTCAAATCTGAACAGCGGCTAAAACAGAATATTTTTAAAATACCTACCTTCATCCGAGGCAAGCTTACGCAGAGAAGTCGCTATAAGTGCTATGGACATTATCACAATCGCTACAAAGAAAACGCAGCATCCGCCGATAGTAATGGATTTTTTAAATTCGCCCATCTTCACAGCGATTTAGGAGATGTGCAGTGTTGCATGCGTGGAGGTGATTGCTTTGTAAGATGTGCTCTGTCGAGTTGTCAATAGTGGATTGACAGAAAGTGGGGGGATAAGGTTAGTGAAAAGTAAGGGGAGCCATGTACTGATTTGCACTTAGTCTAATAAATATGTTGAGTGTCTTAAATTATAGCTCCCAGCTTTGTCAAAGGATCAATAAGATTTTACTTAGGAAATTAACTCTAACAAAATTCTCTACACCTTTATTCCCGGCGTTTAATCTACAACTAGACAAATTTTCTATCCGAGAAAAGAGAAATTCTTAAGGAGGGTTATTTGGAAAAAAGTAACCCCCGCAATTATCCTTGGGCAGGGGTGAAAAACATGTTTAAGTAACAAAACAACAGACTTGATTGGTTTAGAACTCTCGACAATGTCACATCATTGTAAAGATTACTGACGAAAGAGCAATACTTTGTTTTCTCCTCGACCTTCTGCCTGCAGGAGTTACCATTTTGCCCGAAAAGCGTGGCAAAATAATTGCTGTTTAAGGAATCTATGGACATTGAAGAAGGCCAAAGACCACGCGTAGTCACCGGTGGAATGCAGGGGTACCAAAAATGTCTGCTTATATTCTTGGGGATCGGACTTTTGACCATGGTGATCGTTTTGCCCCTGAGTTTCAGTGGAGTCGAATATTACGAGGTAGGTATTTGCCCAATATTGAATACTTATGTTAAAAATATTAGTATTTATCCGAAATCTGCAGAACGATCGACTGAGCGGACGCCACAAGCACTGCAATTGCATGACACTTGAATTTCAGAGACACTCCCTTACTTGGACCTTGAAGGTCACGCAATACGCACAGCTTACACCCGGCAGGAAGGAAATAGATCAATGTTTGTCAATAGAATGAAAGGAGCTCATTAACACTCTGCCGAAGACACCCTTATAAAAACCGGTGGTTTTCGTCATTGTGAGATCGCTTTGTCTGAGATAGATAGCTGTCACGTATTGTTTTTACTACTTATCTTTGGACAGTCAATTCCTTCCACTTTTTCCTCCAATGATAAACCCTCTTTAAAATAGGCTACGTTTAATAGGTCAAGCTGCATCTGCGTACAACACATTTCTCATTCTTAATTTTCCAGCTGGGAATTAGGAAACAGAAGTCAACTGGGAATATCAAACTGGATAAAGTATACACGGGCGGTCGACACTTGATTGGTCCTGATTATACGTTCAAAAAATTTGAGGCCACAGTGCATTACGAGGAGCTGAAGAAGGTCGAAACCTTTACTAAAGGAACTGCTGATAGTCTTGGCGTGGCAGTCGAGATTACTTGTGCGATGCAGTACTTCCTTCGCCCAGAAGACCTGAAAGATTTACATCAGCAGTACGACTTGTATTACAAGTATGGCTTTATTGACTTTTTCCTTGCTTCCTAGCCTGTATTTTGGCGTAGGTCAAGTACGCATGAGCGGTCCAAAGGAGGGTCTGGAGCGAAGATGAAAACGGAGAGTGAGACTAGGGAGAGGCGCGAAAAAATGTAGGGAGTGTGAGGCTCGTGTGCTTCGCGCGAGGATTTCAGGCTGGCCATCGCGCCTTGAAAACAGATCAGTTCAGAGAAAAAGACCCGACTGTTTTGCAGTCTTATGCGCCCGGCTGCTTGCACCCCTTTCTCTTCTATTGTTACTTAACTAAGGGCCTAAAGCAGTATGCGGTGTCATGATGGGTCGCGTATCAGTGCTGATCGAATTGATTTGCGTTTTTTTACAGGCCTGTGGTTAGAACAACAGCAAATGCAGCCATTAAGGGTCGTGCTGCAGAATTGTCAGTGTCCCAGTTTATTCGTGATAGAGAAACAGTGGAAACGGAACTCTTTAAGGCAGTTAAACTTAGACTTGAAGGTATGTTTATATAGATAAAGACTTTGTGAAGTAAAAATGCACTTGTTTGCGGATTGAAATGACTCTACATCAAGAGATCCCTAATACGACATTATCATCTCTTGCTCTTCTTCGAATTCGAACGTTTAAATGCTGAAGGAAATTGAAAAAACGATTGTTGCCGTGGCGATCACTCTTGATGAAACGACGATCTTAAAGATTAGAGCGACGATTTAATTGCCATTCCGATTAAGTTTGATAACGTTAGTCGTGCTTTGACGGCAAACAAATCTGTCAAAACGTTTGCTGCACGTTGAGACTTTTTATTTGCTTATAAAACCTACAACCTGTAGCCTTAAGGTTTTTTTATTTCCTCGTTCTCGTCTTCGTCACCTTGGTTACTCAAGCTTGCTAGCGACGTTACCAAGGAGAAAAATTCTTTACATGCGACGGTTTCGTTGAAAAACCGACGATTTGATGGAAAACGCGCAACGAAAATGACGATCAAAGGTTCTCAGAGACTCACCTTTGGACCCAGGCTCAGAAAGCGTCATTTTTTAGAAAAAAATATTAAGGGAATCCGACGGGTCTTTACAAGGCTTTTTGTCTGGTTTAAAGCAGTCGGACATCGTTCGCAAAAGAAACGGGCTTTTCCAAATGTAGTACCTATTTTTGTCCTTAGTTAGCTAAACGATTCCAAGAATTCCCCAATATTATGTTGTTGGAAATGCGTTCTATAATGCTTTGTGTCTATGTTTGTTTTGGTACTTTTGTTATCTCCTTCATAGGCACCTGTTGTCTCAAGGATTGTGCCGCCAAAAAAGCGTGCGTTCCCGGATGTGTGGAGTACTCCAAGTGTACGACGTCTCAAAAAGGCCTGTTTGTAGAAGTTAGATATTTTCAGTTCTTGGACTTTGACATCCATGATGATGTAAAGAAGAAATATTTTGAACGGGTGAAGGAAGTAGAGCAGAAACAGCAGGCTCAGTTTGAGCAAGATGAGAAGGTCAGCGATAAATCATGAAATCTTCCTTTTTAGTTCATAATAATTTTCAGATCTCCTTTGGATGACGCCTATTTTCGCCTTCGGCTTCGTCGACAAGATGAGATATGGGCAAGAGATTTAGTTCATGACTCCGCATAACAGAAGCCAATGCATAGAACCTCCTTGTTTGCTTTTCCTACACTGCGAGCAGTCTCTCTTTTTCTTCAGATTTAGTGAGAGCAATGCACTCGCTGGAGCAGAGAAGCCGCGAGACGCGCGAAACGAGGGCGGCAGCCCGTCTCGCGCCATCAGTCACGCGCGTGGCCATTGGCGTGTCTCGCGTTTTGCTCGACGGACTACAGAAAAAAGAGAGACTGCTCGTAGTCTATGCTTTTCCTTTGTTTTTAATTCGTCTTTTCTTAGTCATGATCAGTTTGCAATTAAAAAATATCTACGGTACCCAGTTGGGAGTGGAGGACAAGTAAATGGCATTCTTTGAATTACAGATAATAACAGTCGACTTTCTTTATGACGGACACCTTTGGGACCGGCAATATGTGTCTGTCTTAGAGAGATCTCCCTCTTATAAAGAGTCAGCTTAGCTTAAGAGTAAAGAAAGGCATGGTGTCTGTTTTAGCAAGGTGTCCGTTCTATAGAGGTGTCCGTTCTATGGAGGTGTCCGTTCTATAGGGGTGTCTGTTCTGTAGAGGTGTCCATTCTATAAAGGTGTCCGTACTATGGAGGCGTCTGTTCTGCAGAGGTGTCCATTCCATAGAGGTGTCCATTCTATACAGGTGTCCGTTCTATAGAGGTGTCCGGTAAGAAGGAGTTGACTATCGCACTTAGCTACGACTCTAACAATGATCCAAAAACATTATTAAAAAGCCAACTCTAGTAGGAGACAGTCAGTTGAGTAGTTTCACAAGTAAATTAAGTACGGCCGAACAGAGACAAACATCCTGAAAAAGTAGGCTAGCAAAGAGAGACTAACCCGTGGGCGTCTAGATGCGAATCCGACACGCTGACTACTCGGCCGCGCTGCAACGGCAAAAAGCGGTTGGCAATATTATTGCTGGTTTCGTTTCGGTTTTAATCCACTATTGTGTTTTTCTACGCAGGTCGTGCGAAAGGAAACTGAGCGCATGAAGAACGAAATCAACAACGCAGCCGCAGAAATCGCACAGAATTCCTCTGCCCAAGCCACTGTCATTCTTGCGAAGGCAAAAGCCGAAGCGCTACTTAAGGTGGAGAAAGCACGTGACACGGGGCTGTCCTACATCTACCAACAACTGAATATCACTAAAGAAGCACAAAAGTCTGCCTTCAATTATTTACGCACGCTTCGGGGGCAACAAAACGTCAAGCTTAATGTTGGTTACCAAACGCTTATGGCAAGAGATTAAAGGAGAGATTATGGCAAGAGATTTATGGAAACTACTGAAACTCAATCCCGTCGAAAAATGTGATTAATGGTTTCTGTAGAGATGATATCTTCTCTTAGTTACTCGTAATCATTTGACGTTTTTTAAAAGATGTTATTTTAGATGTTATTTTAGAAGACACTTGCTTAGTTTTTAGAAGTCACTTGTGGAGGGTTTCAACTGGGTTAATTGTTAGCCGAAACACGACGATAAATTAAGTAGTTAACAAAAAATTGGAGAAAAAAGTAATTGTTTGTCGTGAAAAATAGCGTATGGCAGATACCAGATATTTTTTTGGTCATTTTTTATAAAACGCCCCGCGCGCGAGTGAAGACGCGAAGACCACTCTTTCAGAGAGGTGGAGTCCGAGTTCTTAGTTCAGTAAAAGTTTTAACATTATCTATAAATAAAAAAATCAGAGGTCAGAGACGAGGGAATTGAGATGGTGTTGGAGTTAAGGCTTTCAGGATGTTGGAAGGGAAGCCCTTCTATTAAAGGATGCCTTAAACCTCTGCCCGCTGATGATTTAAGATCGTTGAAATTACACTTATGGCCAAGCAGTTGAATGAGGTGTCGGCGACATGTTCTTCAAGTGCATTGAAATGCAGTCCGGACGTGTATCGACAAAACCTTTCTTATTACCCGGGGCAATATTTCTCCCTAATGATCACTCTTTCCCTAAGCTTCTTGAGATTTTGTGAGACACGTCTTTCTAGTGCAATGTTGCATGTTTTTAATGAAGTCCACAAAAGGCGGTACAGCGGTAATCATATGCAGTCAACGACTGCCTTTTATATGAAATTCGTTTTTTAAAAAGGGGACACGAAAATGCATTACAAAAAAAATTCATTTTCTCCTCCTACGCTACAGTCATTTTGAGACTAAACATTGTTACAATGCTTTTAAATTTTTACAAACACATGCAATTAAAGATTACAATCTATACACTACAAACTATACACCTGCTTGGCAGCGTATTGACCAACTGTACTACTAATCCCATTGACTGAAATTTTGAAGAACAGAAGTCAAAGAAGTTATGCATGCTTGCTACTTACACGTAAAAAACCCAATTCGCCAAGTTAGGAAACGAAAGGGAAACTGGGCCGAGTTAACTTTTACAAAGATTTTTTGGACTGTTGCTTGGTACAGGGAAAAAATTGGCCAATAGCTGACCGGAGTGTCCCCAGGGACACATTTCGGCTCCATCCTCCTTATCGTTTCTAAAGTGGCGATGTTACGGTGATTGATGGGCATCCTCATTTCCAAAACCTTAGTGATATGGGAATCCCCTTTTCCAAGAGAGAATGAGCTAGATCATTCTCTCTTGCCTTTTCATATTAACTTAACGATTTGAGGTTAGGGTTAGGGTTACAGGGGATCCCCATATCACTAGGGTTTTGGGAATGGGGATGCCCATATCACTGTGACAGCGAATCAATGCAATTTGTCAAATGGTAGTTATACATGCTTGTCATCTTAATTCTGAAATTGTGCAAGTGATTTATAGCCTACATTCAGCTTCACATTTTTGTTCTGACGCAGTGATCGTAGGTAATTGAACGCGGCCTTCTGTTCATCTGTAGTGATCCCTAACACTGTGTACATGTTCTTCAAACCATCAGATCTTGCCTTCTCTACTATACCCAGAGCGTCTGCCTTGGCCTGGGCACTAATCACCGTTGCCTTGGCGCTTGCATTCTGCGCAATCTCCCTGGCTTGGTTATAGATTTCGTTTTTGATTCTCTCGGTTTCCTTTCGAACCACCTATTATGTGGAAAAATGAAGGGATTATACACCACTGACGCTAAGGAATAGAATCTTAAAATTTATGTACACCCTCCAGGCAGCCTTTCTTATATGCGGGTCCCCGATAGGTTTTTTCAGTCTGCGGGATTTGCCTTACTTGACGGCCGGGATTCGAGATTCTTAAGCAAAATGTGGGTAGTATTCGGGATTGAAATTTTATGCACAGGATGTGGGATGCCCAAAATAACCATCGGGATTACAGAGTTGAGGGGAAAATTTGGTTCGGGATGACGGGATTAAAGAACCCTATACGGCGAGCGAGAGCGCGAAGGTCGCCCGAGGGTCGCCCTCTATCCATAGAGGGTCCCAAGTAGGTTTTTTGCGACACAGGATTTGCTTTATATGAATGCCGGGATTCGGGATTTTGAAGCAAAACAGGGGCAAGATTCGGAAATGAAAGTATCACGGTATGCGGGATGCCGAAAATAACGATCGGGATTACGGAATTGGGTCGGGATGACGGGATTGAATAGCCCTAATGGACCCTCTCGTATCTTACTGCTGTGGTATCTGTGTGGTACTAGCATAATCGCTCCATTCGGCCCTACAACTTTGTAACAGAACAAATCACCTTCTCTTGCAACTCAAATTCGGCCCGTTCTTCCTCAGCTGCCTCAGTGACCTGGCGCAGGTAGCGACTCTTGACATCTTCATGAACATCAACTTCAAGCAGCTGGAAATATCGTACTTCTACGAATATTCCCTTTTGATTGCTCTTACACAGAGCATTTGTTATACAGTAACCACAAGGCGGCATTTCTCCTTCCTGAGGAGGACATGTCTCCCTGCAACATCCATCCACACGTCTTGCCAGCGCTTTGAAAAGTTCTCTTTCTATGTTTTCGCGATTCCTGGGTATTGATAGAAAAAGTCCGTTTTTAGCAGTGGTGGATCCAGGGGAGGGGACCGCCCCCCCTTATTTTTAGACCAAACTGAGACCCGAAGGACAGAAAAAAAAATTTTTTTTTGAGACCGCCCTCCTTTATCTCAAGGTCTGGATGACCGGGCCCCCCTTATCTGAAGGTCTGGATCCGCCACTGGTCCGTAAGCAAATTGTAGCTGAAAGAGTATTAAAAGAACTGAAGCAAACAAAATCAATGAGGGATAATTTGTGAATACCGAGTGGAGGTTACTCCCTATAGTAGGGTGAATGGAGAGGCTACAGTTGAAGGAGGTCCCTTTTCTACGTAATACGTACAAAAAGGGCGAGGATTACGAAAGCTATGGGCAGAAATCCAGGACGGTCAGTGGCTAAAGTGTGGGCTCATGTGATTTTCGTTCGTTTTAGAAATTTTTTTGGGAAAAAAGGGCAGACCTGCTGCTTAAAGCGATCAATTGAGTTTTTGTTTCAATAAAGGTTGCTTCGGGCATTGGGAATTGGGCATTGGGAAGCTTTTGTATGCATGGTAGTCACTCAAGTAAATCATTGCATTGTTCCATATGCCCAAATGTCCAATTACCGATGACCAATTACCAAAGCAACCTTTTTTGATTTAGCGGGATATGGAAGTTCACGTGTACAGTCGTTACTATAATCTGTTTGAAGAGGTCGTTGCTAACAGCTATATTACTCATAAAAGTTTCTCTCTTTTCTTAAACAAACCTAATGTAGTCGTCGATTGGTAAATCCGCTGCCCGCCCTTTTATAGCGTCTATAGCTGTTCCCTTGACAACGGGCTGATAGTCAACATTGTAGGCCTCATGCAAGTCTGGCAGAAAGTTCTTTTTAAGGAAATACTGAAAAGTGCAGGTTATCTTGATTTCAATCTTATCTCCTGTCCACACTGCAATCTTGTCCAATTTTACAAAATGTGCATTGGCCTGGAACACCTTGAATGTGTAGTCCGGGCCTACAAAGTATCGCCCGGAGGTATATACCTTATTGATGTCGACATAACCAGTGGATTTACGTCTTTTGAAGCCGAGCTGCGATAAAAAATACGGTAGGAATAATTAGCTGTCAGACTCGACTGATGCAAGATTATAGTGCCCACACTGAGTCCTCGAAAAAATTAGGATTGAGGCACCATCCAAACTACGCTATTGAGAAATAAAAAGCATAGTGAGGAAGTCAGCTGTTCAGATTTGTTGATTTCCTTTTTAAAGTCAATTTTCAGTTCAGTTCAAAAGTTATTTTATTATTATTTATATACCACTACAGCAATCCCTCAAAAAGAGGATTATTAGTCGGTGTGGTAAAAAAACAGACAAACAAAATAATCAGTAATTGTTCGTTAGTACATGTAGCTCAATTCCGAAAACAATGAGTCTAAAATCACTCCAACTGATGATGGGTGATTTCAGACACACTGGCCCGGAACTGAGCAGGATCAGCGGAGAGAGTACTAAAATACATCTGGAGGTAAGGAGTTCCACTGGACCATAGTTCTAGGATAGAAAGACAGTATGTAAGAGGTTGCTGAGGTCGAAATCGGGGTAAAGGAGTGGTCATGGACATGTCTTCTTAGAAACCACCTGCCATAGAATGTCAGCGTCTAGGTAGTTTTTCAAGATATTCGACGATGTAGATGGTTTTCTCGCATTCTGGTCGCAGCCGTCTGATCGTAGAAACGTTTCCAATGGATTTTCAATGAAGTTTAATCTTGTAAGAATGCACTAAGAGTTTTCTAATGCTCAAAGAATTTCATAATACAGCCTATCATAAGACCTGAAGGTAATGGGAGAAAGCGCGCAAGTTCGTATTCTTGGTACGTGTAAGTTCGTATTTTTGGTACGTATATTGTTCGTTTCTTGATCGGAAATCTTCGAACGCCTTTAGTAATTTTCGGAAAGTGACGTCAATCATCTGGGAAAATGTCTCATTACCAGTATATAGCTACTTGTATCAAATCGATCATGCACTTTCCTGTGGCACTATTACTCTAGAAGGGTGTTTGCTTGTTTAGACTGCTGTGAAACTGCCCACCTGCCTCTCCCCTAAGCCAACATTTTGCTCTAAGTAAGAACTAAGTGTTAATGTTGATTTAGGGGAGGGGTAGGTGGGCAGTTTCCAGGAACGTAAAATGATCCGTTTAGACATGCATATCTTCAATGGTAAGAAAATAACTTTTCAGAAACAAACTCCTAAAAATGTTCTGTTTTTGCTGCAAAACATCAAGCCCAACAAAGAATATTTCAAGGCTTAGGTTTTCGCATAACAAGTATGCATATTTTTTGCCATTTATAATCAGACTAATAAGCAGTTATAATAAAGACACAAAGTGGCTAATGAAAGTGTTAAAACTTCACAACCCTTACTGCGTATCGAAACATGGTATAACACAAATATATAGATGTTACAAGAGAGGGCCTCAATGAGACAGTTCACTGTTAGCTGTTCACTAGAACGGCTAAAACATTAATCGTGACGTACGACTTGTTTCGGGTTGACCGTTCTAAGTAAGTCTGAATGGGTTTTACTATTAGCCGCAATCAGCCAAACTTTTAATTGTAAGGCGTAAAATTTGGAAAATTCAGTTTAACAGCTAGTTAAAGCTTTTCCTTGTTTCAAGACATTCGCTAGTCACGTACATGTACAGTCGACTTCCAATAACTCGAACCTTCNACTAGAACGGCTAAAACATTAATCGTGACGTACGACTTGTTTCGGGTTGACCGTTCTAAGTAAGTCTGAATGGGTTTTACTATTAGCCGCAATCAGCCAAACTTTTAATTGTAAGGCGTAAAATTTGGAAAATTCAGTTTAACAGCTAGTTAAAGCTTTTCCTTGTTTCAAGACATTCGCTAGTCACGTACATGTACAGTCGACTTCCAATAACTCGAACCTTCACGAAGAGATCGAAAACAGTTCGAGTTATCGAGAGCTCGAAACGATGGAATGGGGGAGTAAAGCAAGTACTGTACACTTCTCTTCAAGGGAAACAAGAGATATATTGATATTTTGAAAACGAAATTTCGCAACAAAGCCTCGATTAATAACCCTAAACATTATATTTGAATTGGACTGACGAAAAATAAAGAATCTTAAAGAGAAAGATTACATGATTGTTTTGACAGAAGTTCTATGTTTTGGACTGCAGTTCACTGCGTTTTTTTCGAATTTTCACGCGCTTAAAACATGGTTCGAGTTATCGAGGGTAAAATTGTATAGAAATGATCTGAAGGGAAACAAAAATTACTTTTAGAGCCGGAGGTTCTAGTTATCGAGGGTTCGAGTTATCAAGGGTAAAATTACAGTAAATCAATGAAGTAAATTCAAGGATCTTGGCCTTCGAGTTAGCACGAGGTTCGAGTTATCGGGAGTCGACTTTATAATGTCTTGTAACTTTAAAACCCTTTCTTTTCCTTTCCTGAGATTTCCGTTCACAGAACAGAACGATACCGACCGTTAGCCGTTTTAAACAACAAAATAGGGACCTTAAGATTGCAGGACGGGCGACGGCAGCGAAAACGTCACTAAAAAAGTGAATTCGCGCTCTTTCAATCTTCATCGCGATTACTTCAAGTCACTAACTTTGTCAAATGTAGGGGAACCCTCCTAAAGTTGAATTCCTAAGAACCATATCCAAGTTCAGAAATAGCGAAGAAATTTGGTCATCGCTTGTGTCTTTCCTCTGTGAAACGTGAAATTGGGCATTTTCACGTCGTAGTCGTGCAGTGACGGCAAAGAAATGTACAAAAACGCGTGATGCACGTGCAATATTGTTATTTTAGATATTAAACCTACTGCTTTTTTGACGTCCTCGTTGCTGTCGTCGTCGTCGGATCTTAAGGTCCCTAATATCATCTTTTATTGGGTTGTATGAATGACAACTGCACATATTCGACTGTTTACAGCCGTTAAAGTTTCCACCCCATTGAGACCCTTTAGCGAATTCCGTTGCAACTTCCTCTCATACCTCATAATATTCGACATCGGAAAAGCTAACTGGCCATATGATAACGAGGCGAAGAAGTAGCAAACATGTACAAATGAGAGCTACTACTTGCACTTTTCGCGTGGAAGATGTCAGAACATTTGAGTCAGAGAGACAAACTTCCCTCTCCCCGAGAAATGACGAGTCACCGCTTGGAGGCTGTAAACACGGAAGTAAATGACAGGTTGTATTCACGGCTCAGTGATGCGTTTTTCAATCACGAACGCCAGTAAATGTCAGTATAATATCAACAGCAATATTGGATCTTCTGATGCAAGGATTAAGAAACCTCGGCTCCACATGAATCCGCAAAAATTTCTGTTTGATCCTTAGGTGCTATACAACAGCGCCCAAAAGCCTGGGTGGCAGTGCATATATCATATGGTCACTTCAATCAAGGGTGTGTTAAGGGAAGGAGTGCTTTGAATACGACGAAGACCTCTACTGTTTGGCCTTAATCTTTGAAAATTTGGTTAACACTGATATTATTTTTATCATTTTTGCAAAAGCAAGGCTGCTCCACTTTTAGATTGTTAACGAGAGCGCAAAGTAAGCGAACAAAAATAGACAAGGAGTATTTCTACTTCCTCTTTGATGGAATACTACTGAACGTTAATATTGACTAGGTGTCCGCAACGGTATTGATATGTAAATGCGAGATGCAGGTATAGAACATGTTTTAAAATGAATGAATGAACTTTATTTAAGTGTCAGGGTGTTTAGCTAGATATAAGCTAATTGTCGACACCAAAAGATCATTCCAAATACAAAATAAAAAAGGGGGAATGCTATGAGTGTTAAAAATCTTTTTGAAGACAGGGAAGGTTATTCATAATAAAAATCTAAAATTTGCACCATTCACAAATTTTTAAATATCGCTTATTTCCAAAAAAAACCGGATATTCAGAATATTCACAAATTTATCATTATTTAGTTAAAAAGTGATAAAATTCCATTGCAAACGTGGTTTAGTGATACAAAAGTTACAATTGATGCACGTGCCCTCAATAAGAGAAGTCAAGTCTTTCTTTCTGATGTTCCATCTAAAATTAACAAGCAAGAGTCGCTGTCGATCACTTGAGGAAATTCTGGACCAAAGATATGGGCTTAGGTATCTAATAGAGTGTTTCCATATCTTACTGTTGAGTAGCGAGGCATATCAAACTCTACATTTCTTAGGGAGTACCCTTTGTTTGCAAAATTGAAAAGTGCACCTATGCAGTCAGGGGCCAAACCATTTCTAACTCTCGAGTAACCCCGAGTAACATATAAAGTGCCCTTCATAGTGTAGCTAACCGAAATAAGAATACTCGGTTGAGTGTGTGTGTGGGACAACACTTCTTATGAGGATACGAGGAAAAAGACTCGTTTTTCCTCTCAGTGACCCATTCTCTCTTGCTCTAATCTATAAGTTAAAATTAATACCATTTTTTTTTAATGAAGTCAGTTGTTTTGTTAACACTTCGAGTCACCCTTTCCTTTGTTGAATAATTAACATGGTGCTGTTTATGAAGATTACGACTACATGCCAAAGTCAAGATCAGGTCTCGTTGTTTCTGTCGGCGTGTTCAGGAAGCCAAGTAATGCAATGTTGCGCACGCACAAAGCCTAAGGCGCAAACATAAGAGTGATTTTACTTAACCCGTGAAATAGGGAGTAGAATATTACGCACTATTATTGACTAAAGTCATTATCTTCTTTTGTTTGCCCTTGCTATTTTGCACTATTTCAGTTGTTAGTATCCGGTTGACGGTTCAAGTAAAATTACTCTATCTGATGAACGCCGTAGAGAGAAAATGTTTCTGCTTAAATTATCAAATACTTATTTAAATGTACGCGAACATCTTAACGAAGTAAAAGGAGAATTTTGGGAAATTGAATAGCGTTGGCACTGCCTGGACGAATGTCGTCAACTGATAATAAAATTTAGATACAGTTAGTGCTAAAGGCCATTGACACGGAACGATATCATTCGGGGGTGAAGAACAATAACGGGGGTATTCACAAACCCAAGTTTCGTTATGCCATTATTCCACTCCCGAAAGGAGCATTATTTTAATATTTCAACACGAAATTTTAGGTATTTCTATTCCATTATTTCTCTTCCGCCCCTAAACATCGTGTAGAAGTCAACAAAACTGCGTTCCTTGCAAAATGGTTTCATCACGAGATTAGCCTTAAAAAACCGCGAAAACTGCAAAATGTATAGCTCCCATTAGTTCACACATCGATGTGATGCCAATTTAAGGATGACACAATGCCTTTTCTAAATATTTTACTTTAAATTAACCTGTTCTACGGTTTGTCGGTGGGTTATTACTGGATTACAAACAGAGCAAAAGATTTGTGCTATAAGAGGAAGATTAGGATGACGATAACTTTTTCTTTTTATAACGGTTTGCATCCATCAGTGATATGTATGGTATAGCTGATAACGTTATAAGCGCTGATAGGTATGCACGAAGTCGAAAGTGGATGGAAGAATTAATGTTAGTTTGAATTGAATTAAAATAGTTAGCACTCTTTTGAAGCAAAATCATAACTTGACATAAGCTCACCTCGTAGTATTCGACGTCAGAGAAACTGGTGGGAATCAAAATAAGAATTAGGAGTGAAACAATTGCAACTCCTATGATGATAAACAAGGTGACGCTGCTGTTGGTCGGCATGTTGTGGCAGAGCTATTTCTCTGAACGAAGACAACTAGGAACGCAGTTTAATCATGCATATATTATATGCTAGCGGCCTACATCAAACAATAGGGGCTTAGTTAGTCGATCAGAATAACAATTTCATTAGAAACGTACGTCATGCCTTTCTTGAGTGCCCAATAACATTGGTAAAGAAGGGAAAATTTATGCACACTTTCAATGGTTGCTTTTGTATTTATGTGTTGAAGATACGGATAGCGAAGACTTTCAGTCGAAGTGTGTTGCTGTTCACAAATGGAAAATAAAGGTAAAATAATCCTTGGAGCATTTGTCGCGGTGATCATTTTTATTGGAGCGATGGTTGGAACGTCTTTACGAAAGCTGAGCACAGAAGAAGGTAGGTCTGAATGCGTTTGCAAATATTACAAAGTGTTTTAGGCAATGCAGGAAATAAGTACCTGTCTTCATAGCATCCCAGTTTACATTTTTTCAATTTTCGTTAAGTAAGAATCTATTCAGTTCTTAGCAAAGCCGAAATTCAAAATTGAAGAAAAAAAAAGATTTCACTCTGCAAAATGCAGAAAAATTTATATGAAGCATTATGTGAAATTACTGCTGAAGACTGAGGTGTATATGTGCCACAATAGTCACACCACGAGATGTCATCCACATACTCAGAAGTTAAAACCACTTATTTGCCTCGAATTTCATACATAGCTTTCAAATATTCGCTTTGACGTTGCTTTTAGTAATACATACTGAATTTGCATAAAGAGGTTTTAGCTCCGCAAAAAGGCTCGTGCCATTTTATTGTTCTTGTTTGATTACTTTGTGTACGTTAACGCAATAATTCTAGAAAAAGCCAACAGTGTTTACAGCTATCAGAACTATTTGCCACTGATTCTTTTCAACTGGACACATTTAACTTCAATTGTTGACTTTTAGTAAAAAATCATTAGTTTTCAGAATAATGGCTATCAATTTTGTTTTATCTTTCAATTTAAGCTTTCTTTTTATTCTGCACGACATCCGTTCACGTTAGCACCTTTTTACAGATGTACCTCGTTTTAATTCCATTTTACCTATATGTATTTGCGAATATAACGTTCGTTAGTCTGTTGGTTAAATACTGGTAACAGCTGAGTTTGGGATATAAAAGGTTTTGCTCACTTGCAAATTCCTTTAAACTAGGAAACTAGTAATTAGTCCGCGTTTCTTCCTGTTTGAACAGACGCTAGCTGACCTTGCGATTTCATTCATATTGTAATATATTGTGCATAACCACTGTTTTGCTGACCTAGCAAACTTAGCTAGCTTTTGTTCCAGTAATTTTACTTTTTCAAAAATAGCAACACGTACAAGCTATAACTATCTCTTTTATTTGACTTTCATTTACTTCTAAGCGATTCCTGTTTAGATATATATTGTACTCTTTTGTTTTCAATAGTTAGTCATAATCATATATAAGCAAGTTGCTTTGAACTGATTTGTCGATTACATTGCTCATTACATCGCGGATTTCAGAGCTGATTACATTGCCGATTCCATTTGTGAGACTTGTGAGCTAAGTTACACTTCGTATTCAAGAATAAACGCTGTTGGAACCAAAGTTCAGTTTGCCTTTGCTGTACCAGTTAGTGGTTTGATCCCGAACCTCAAGAGAAGTGAAGCGAATTGCCAATTGAGTTTAGTTTCCCGGTTAATCGAGAGTTAAAGCGCCGCGTTCCCTTTGAGTGTTCAAATCGTTCGAAAGTGGAATCAAAGAAAGACTATCGTCAACTCGTGGGTACGTTGTTTAGAAAATAATCAATTAGTTATCACCTCTGGTTTTCCCACAGTGAATTTTAGGAAATGATAGAAATTCAGATTATAAATATACTATCCTTGTTCTGGAAACACAATACTTTTCTTGCTGTTTATTGCACTTTAGTAACAGTTATTTAAGTATATATTTAAAAACAAAAAAACAAAAAAAAGCAAAACAAATAGGCAAACAAGACAAAACAAAAAAAGAAAAAGAAAGGGAAGAAAGGAAAAGGAAGGTCCTCAGCAGAATTTGAACCCGTTACCTTCGGGCTGACACGACCTCACATAGCCACTACGCCATTGAGGATGGTCACGTGATTTGGCGAAAAGTCTCAGTTTAAGATCCTTTTCCATGGAACTTCCGCCGGCAAACGACCGGGGCAAACGATCGAGCCATACTGAACCGATTGAAAAAACGACTCGAAGCAATCGGATGAAATTAAGGCTAATTGAAACCTGGCTACTGACAGTAAAAAAACAATGTAAACGCATTTCATGGCAATGAAAGAACATAAGCGATACAAAGCCGACACATATCCTCCGCGAAGTAGGATGCAAAACATTAGCTTATGTTTTCTTATCTCGATTTCCGCTGTTATTTTAAAGGTAATGCTCAAACTCACATCCATTTCCCCCCGTGATCTTGGGGAGTCCTTAAGAAGAAGAAGAAGAAAAAGAAGTGCCTTTATTTACCATACATTTCACCAGTCCGTATTTTATAGTCCGTATTTTATACCCAGTCCGCAGTCCGTAGTCCGCAGTCCGTGTTTTATACTGACCGCCATAAATTCATTCATACACATAACCTACTACTACAAGGTAGGAGATCAAGCCAGCGTCGAAGTTGAAGGAGTCGAAGAGAAAATGCTCATCTTCTCGTCAAGTTTAACGCCTGGACGGATCAAAGGCTTTTGAATCGTGCTAATTTGAAAGATTCCTGCGTGTCTTAAATTTGGTAAGACCTCTATCCTAACCGTGCTGTAGCGCACGATGCACGCTTTCAGCGAGGAATTTGATGCTACCGAACTTCGGCGAGCGCGTGCTTCTTTGGAAACGATAGATCTTCGCGCTCTCGAGTTCGGACCCGATTAATTACGAAGTGCGTCTACTACGAGTGAGCGAGTGACTCATTTGCATATCTCAGTCTCTGCAATAACTCGTGGTACGCTCGCGCGTACCCACGAGTTAAAAACTGGGTGTCTCGAAAACTAAGACCTAAGACCCCCTCCAAGTCTCGAAACCTAAGAACAAAGACCCCCTCCAAGTCTCGAAACCTAAGAACTAAGACCCCCTCCAAGTCTCGAAACCTAAGAACTAAGACCCCCTCCAAGTCTCGAAACCTAAGAACAAAGACCCCCTCCAAGTCTCGAAACCTAAGAACTAAGACCCCCTCCAAGTCTCGAAACCTAAGAACTAAGACCCCTTCCAAATCTCGAAAACGAAGACTTAAACCGAAAATTTCAGCTAATTTTACAACGGTTAAAACACAAGGGAAGGAAACGTTTCGTAGGAATGCCCACTTTGAACTACAAAACGAAGACGAAATCAAAGTCACGCGAACATGATGTGTCGCGACTCACATAACAAAACATTGACAAAAAAGGCCCGTGAGAACTGTTTATTGGATGTTTTTAAACTGTGTCAATCCAAGTGTCACGGTTTTAAATTGCCATAGACAAGAGATAACCGGAAATGTCACGCGAGCGATCATAAAAACGAGTCGATAAAAGAAGTTCTACTGTTCTTGTTTTGCACGGTCAAAGATGTCTCCAATAAATATATCCATAAATACATAGATGAATAAATAATTAAATGACAGAAAAGGATCACGAGATGGAGGTCTAGTGTGTCACGTGAGAGGTAGCAAAATTTTGAATTCATGCTAAGCCTGGGCCCCCCGAGATGCTAAACGACCTTTGTAACAACAAACCAATTCTTGTAAGAATTTTGGATGGAAAGCACACGCCTCGATATTACAAAGATTGAGTTCCATTGAGGTAGACTTGTTGCTCCTTGGTCCCGAGTGATCTCCTGCCTGTATTACCCAAAGGTCGACTTGTATGACCCTCCTACGTAAGCAAATGTATGCAAAGGACATCGACAGGATAATCTCCTGCCAGAATTTAATTCTGACCGGGAAATTACCTATCACTTGCTTATGTAGCTCCTGGTAGATCATCTCTTCAGTTTTGAGGAAACGGAAATCTGACAAGGAAAGTATCGTTAACATACCGCGCTTTGATTGTCATGGTCTGGCAGTTAAAGAGCGGCTCGGATAAGGTTCTTTTGGCGATGTCTACACCGTGGATTATGAAGCTCCAGGAAAGGTTGCCTAAACAGTGGTTGTGAAGAAAATTTTACAGACTCTGGACCAAGACGAGAAGAAACTCCTCTACAAAGAAGTAGCTCTTTTTAACGGATACGCTGGGTTCCAGAGGATATGTTTTTCTTATCGATGCTGATGATTCGCGGCGAAGCCGCGTCAATGTAGGAATGCCCGCTTTGCACTGTGACACACACACACACCTTTCATCTTCACAATATTGGGATGGTTCAGTTCGTTAAGTACCCTGGCTCCAGAGGTCCGTTCTCAAAATACCTAATATGAAATAAACCGTGCTTACGGTTTGATAAGGTTCCCGAGACGTACTCAGTTACTTCAAACTCTAGTGGGGGAAAAAAGAGTTAGATTGAAGGCTCTTTTTTCCACTGATAAACTCAGCATAACATGCAACGGCAGAAACGTGAACTAGGTCACGATCAATACTTGTGCAAAGTAAGTTGTTAAGTCAGTGCAAGCGAGAATGAGCAAGATCATTCTCCCTCATCTCGTGTTGACTCAAACAAAGATTGAAAGATTTAGTAGTTTGGAGGAAAACCGTCAGAATCGTGTGATACAAGACCGTCTCCGCCGTGTCCTTTTTTCTAGGTAAAATATTTTGTCGCATTTTATACATACGGAGTCTCCATCCTTTTTAAAACGGTTTCTATGCGTGTAACTTGCCTTAGGGTAACACGAATACCACAGTGAAGTTATCTTGTCGATCACATTCGCAAGATAATCGTAATAAATAAAATGATGAGACATTTCATATCCTTCAATCAAATTTGCAAAATGAAACCATCTGTTGGCAGTTTCCAGCAGGAGAAGTGCATAGCTTACACTGTTCTTTCTTTATAAGTAATGGCAAGAAAATATATATTTCATACAGGAATATTATTATTTAGTTTATTAAACTCTTAACTGACAATCGCTAAAATACTCTGTCACAACAGTTGGTATGGCCTACAATATCCATCAAAAGGAACTTTCCTCAGAGGTGAAAAGAGAGGGTCTTCACGCTGGTGCTCCTGGGTATCGCTTTATCATCTTCCCCAGTGTGTTCCAGAGCATTACATACTCAGATATTGAGTGTCTTAACAAGGAAGGCATAGAGATTGAACTGGATGTGCAACTGCAGTACCGTGCGCGCCCTAATGATTTAAGACAGATTATTCTGCAATTCAAAGACAAGGAAGACTACCTGGAGGTTCTAAAGTAAGTACACGACCTTATTGACTTAATTTTTCATAAGTTGCATATATAGACAAGATGGCGTGTAGTAGAAAGCACGTTAAAGACATTTTTGGTTCGGTCAGCGTGACTTCTACCCTTCTGTAATTTCCAGCAACAGAAAAGGATTTCTGGTCTGCATGATCTCTCTATAGCCAAGGTAACTGAGACAGAAACACTTCTTTTGATTAAAATATCCGAGTTTGAGGTCTGTGCTGTAAATAATGCATTGAAATCGCTGGAGAAGACGAGGATGCAACTTCGTGAAAACAAGTTAATAACGGTATATTAAGTGATTTTTTGCCGTAACAGACTCTTGTCATTTCGCCATTTCGTACTTTCAGAGTTGTTGGAGAGTCAGCCATTCACGACGCATGCAGTGCATTTAACACCAGTCAACTCCAGTCTCAACGCGCTTCTTTTCAAGACCTCGTTCGCAAGACCCTGGGTCGGAGATTTGGCACTCTATGGGGGGATGTGACAGATCTTCAGGTACCAACGTCTTAAACTCGTATAATTTTTGGAACCACCCCCTACCCGAACTGACACTCTAAAGCTAATCTGCAACCTTTTCTCAGGCTAATAAAGGTATAGTACTTTATGCTCATTCCGGAAAAATGAGTGGGAAAATTGTTGCTACATTTTAAAGTAAAGCAGGGTTTTGTATCGTAAAGAACAACTCTTTCACCAAATAACCCAATACTAGCTCAGAAACTGAAGAAAATGACCGTCAACATTTGACTGAAAGGTTTCTATTCACGTTAGGTTCAAAATATCAAGCGCCCAGACACTTACGAGAAAGTAATCCGCCAGAAAGAAGCAGCCAAAGAAAACATCAAAATTGCCGAAAATGAGCGCCCACGACAAGTAGTGCAAGCTAAGGCTGAGAAAGAGGAAGCTGTAACACAAGCAAAGATAACTGTTCAACGGGCAGAGTCTGAGGCGAGAGTGATTCTATCCAAAGCACAGGCCGAGGCTGATAGTATCAAAGCAGCTTTCGATGCAGAGGCTCAAGCTTTCTTAAAGCTGAAAACAGACAGCTTTAACAACAGTGTGGATGGGTTGCTGTCTTATCTTGGTGTTCGTCTAATCGCTGAGAGCAACAATACGGTTAATTTAGCGATTGATGCACCAGCTAAGACAAGGTATACATACACGTAGGTATTTCTACGCAGTGAAAGAATCCAAATTTATTAATTATTAAGCCGCACCAGCAATGTTTTCTGTTGAGCCTTAAATATCTTTAAAAGCAAGCTCTTCCTATTTTGCAGTTTATATAGTTTTTAACTGTCAAAACTGAAGTTCTCTGTGTGAGACTATAACAATCATTCTTTGTAAATAAGGCAATAAAGAAAAGTGAAGTTTTTTTTGGTCTAAAAGTGACTCTTGCATCCGTGGATTAGCAACCTCGTCCCCAGGGCGCTTTTCCCCTCCCAACTCCAAAGCCATGGAAAAGCGTCCTGTCAATAGGCCGCTAGTTTAGAAGTATAAAAATTCATACTGGCTCCGAGGCAAGAGGGAGGAGCCCCCAAACCCCCTTAACGTAGCCTGGGAGAAGGCTCCGCATTGGGAGAAAAAGAGAAAAAGAGAAAAAAGTCGGCTTGGGCGGAAAAAAAATCGGCGAGCGAAGCAAGCCGAGAGACAGTCTGGGGAGGGGAAACAGTGGACCTTTCCACTTCCCTAGGCCATCGCTCGGCTCGCTTTGCTCGCCTTTGCTCGCCGATATTTTTTCCTATTTGACCCCGTTTTCTGCCTTTTTCCATTCCCCCAATGCGGAGTCTGGGCCCAGGATAGCCTGAATGCCGCCAATGAAAGCCCGTTGTGAAGGCTAGAAGAATATCGATCCTGGGACCCGTGTAAGAATAAAAGGATCCTTAAGTAGAATATTGTGCGTTTCTGATTGACCCGATTAATCCCCCGACTAATTCTTCGATAACCAGCTAGCGTTGACCAATTTTTAAAGATGTTTGACGACATTAGTTCAGTTGACGTCAGTTACTCTGATAATCGACGGAAAAAAATCACACTACGTGACTGCTCGGCTGTTTTGACAGTGCAAAGCTTGAGAAAGTTTCGAAGGATTTCATACCTTATGTGAAGACGAAATAATCGGAACTATTGCCTCAAAGTTAAAGCAAGGTAGGGATGGGAACTGCTATCTTCTTGCATAAAAGACGAGAACTTTAAACAGAGATAAGCATGTTTTGACTGTCCCGGCGGATAATTCCCTTCTAGATCTGCATAATTATTCATATTATACGAAAGCCTATTCCAATAATTATTAAGTAAAATTATGGTCATATTGTCGAAGTTTCGCTTACATGGATGGAGTTAGGACTGCATTAAAGAGAATATGAATTTGATTGATATTTTGCTATATTGCCTATTGGAGTCTTTCTTTCCAGAACTCTTATCCGAGGAAACAATAACTTTATTATAACAAAATAGACCTAAGTACAAGCTTCTGCCTATTTTTATATTTAAAGAAATACAGTAAAAACCCACATATAAGAGGCTAGATTTTTTCCAACTTAGTCTACATAGGTTTTTATAAAAATGGTATTTAGTGGGATTCTAGGCTCTAGGTTCTTAATTTGATAGGGCAGTAGTGATCAGCACAGACAACTACTCTAAGGCATATGGGAGAGACACATGGATCTGTATTCTTAATAATTACATTGTGTAATCCAGTATTGGCAAAGACATGATATGGTTTTCATTTTAGTTCATTGTTTGAATCTTACTGACCCAAAGCTAGCCTAAAAGTTTTTTCTGTATTTTCATCTGTGCCTTCATTTTTGAAAAAATAAGAACCTATTGAAAATTTTAGGCTAAGTAGGTTCTTATGAAAAGGGGGTTTAAAATAAAAATTTTAGCCTAACAGGTTCTTACATTTTAGGTTCTTATATGTGGGTTTTTACTGTAGGCCATTTCCGAGTTTTACAAACCTTACTTGTGAAAATGAGTTTTATTAGTACGAGAATAGAAAAAATCATTTTCTTATCACTGGTTTTGCACTGTCCATCAGTTTTCTAAACTAGGAAGAGGTTCTAGGTATAAGAGGTTCTAGTACACCCTTCCAAAAAACTCCACAAGGTGATTTCATTGATGACTGCCGTTTAAACGCTACCGAAGCGTGTGTGATAACGGCGTGAGCTCATAAATTGGTTTAGTTGAAATGAGCCGTTTTTTAATTGAATTTTTTTTTTCGAATATATATATATTTTGAATGGTATGAATTTTTTCAATGGAAATTAAGCCTCTTTTTTTTGTAATCGAAAGGAATTGTAAATAGTGTTTTAACTGAATAGTTTTAAAGCGAAATAAATAGTAAATAGGATTACATAGTTAGCTTTCTTATCAATAAAGTTTTCATTAAAAATTCCTGAGGACTCAGCCTCGTTCCCAGTCGTCCTCGGCGATTTCGGATGTGACGTCACCTGTCAAGCTTGTCTGGAAAATTCGCGGTCGTTTCCAAGACTCTTCTGGTAACTCGGATAACGTGAACTGGCCTGGGTACAAGGCTTCTGAGGACTGTGATGGCCCGAGAGAACATATCTATCACCATAAAACAGTTTTTTCCAGAAAAAGTTCATTATTATATAATGAAAGCAACTTGTACCAAACTTTTCTAGAAAGAAGAAAACAACTAAGACATCAGAGGAGTAGTGGACTTTTTCATCTTGCATAAGGTCTTTGGCGTCCATGGAGAATGCTAAAAGAGAGACCATGAAACGCAAAAGGTTTTCAATAAAAATCATCAAAATTGTCAATTTTGAAAACACGAACAGCGTCCTAGCCGATTTCTTCTTTAAGGGACTCAGTTTAGCGAAGTTCACCGCGCAAACAACAACAGCCTTCAAAATGTTACACAAAGCGAAAGAAATAAGTAGTGGATAATAGAATGTGGTTTGTTCACCAAAGGTGCCCAAAATACACAATGCCAGATATCTAAACGACGCTGCCAGAAGAAAGAAGCACAGTGACCAAAACTGGGGAAGGCTTTTCAGTTGTAGGACAACTGCCTCATAACCAGGAAAAGCGGAGATCTTTGGTAGAATTATAATGGCAATGGTAAGGTGAAGACATGCGCTGAGCAAATAGCACAGTTGTAGTTCCGCTGAATATTTGAAGGCAGCATTTATATCACACTTGTAGGTGGGGACCTTATGTTTAAAGCACGTGGCCGCGCGAACTAGGTACAAACACATCCCAATCAATTGCCAGCACAGAAACAGGCTGTAAACCACGGCCAACATTCTTCTCCACAGAATGCTTCGTGTCTCTCTCTTTCCATTAAATGTTAGGTTGGGTTCTTTTAAGAGTGGAACCGAGGGATCCGTGATAGGTTCTGTCGCCATAACAACTAAATCTGGAAATTAGTGAGAAAAACAGACTAAGAATAATTCTCTAATCACTAAGCGTAGCCTGTGCACAGAAACCCCCTCCTATACGATCCCCTCCGGGAAAAAAAATGTCGGGGAGAGAGATTTTTTTAGGGGAGGGAACACAGGCTAATTAAGTAATGTAACACATGTTTTTAACTTGTGTAAGATCATCTTCAGGTATAAGAGCACGTCATGTTCTGAAATAATGACAAACACCGCTTATATGATCAAACATTACAAGAACGTCATCATTGAACAAAGTGAAAGTTAGTTTTCTATCATATCATCGTCATCAATTGATAAGTCCTCGTTGCATTAGACAACATATTAAGATGGTAGCAACTTTCGAGTTTTACTAAACTTTCTATACTTTTAAATATTATCATTACTTTCTTAAGTTTGTGTTTTTGGGAACTTTATGGTAGAGAAGCTGTTAATAGCTCTAATCAAGAGAGAATGATAATTCTCTCTTGCTCTAATGTTTTTTTATAATTACCAAACAATTTTGGACAAACTTAAAGCCTTCTTGATTTTGATTCACGGGGTAGTTGCCTCCGCGGTTTCATGACTGATATTTAGAGAAACAAACTGTTTTTAAGATGTCGTCATGCACCCACTCTGTAGCCCGACACCACACAGTTTGGCCAGTTGAAAACCCGTAACCACCGGTGTACTCAAAACTTCAAGCCGGACATACAAGTCCGCGTTTGTTAATCTTTCCGTCAGATCAGTATAAAACTGCAAGTGAGTGTTGATTGAAAATCACAGTTAATTATTTTCAGCAACTCAAGCAGGTTTCACATACTCCTTCTTTGAAAGACATATGTGACTGTTGTGCAGGATATTGATATTCATTCAAGACAAGAAGCTCTTATAAATGTGAGCTAGATTAAGATCGCAAAATTAGTAACAATTTGGTTATAGAATAACGCTGTGCGGTATATACGCCGTGTTCAGACCAGGATTCGGGGTACAGGAGGTCTTCGCAACTCGCCATATAACTGGGAACTGGATTTGCAAGCAAACCAACCCTCGACATTTTGTTGCGTTTGTTTTATAAGGTCAGTCTATGATTTGCTCGCAATGCAGTGTTATTTAAGTGATCACGCTGATGATCTGTTAGTAATTAGTATTTCACCAGAAGGATTGCAACAATCGCTGGATGTAAATCATAAACACGCTCTAGCCTGCGTAGCAGGCGCTTGGAAGTAGTGGGTACCAGAGAAAAACTGACGCGCGAGAAGGAGACTCGCGAGGGGAGACACCCGCGCGTGTCTCCCTCGCGCGCGCCCGTTCTCTCTTTCACCCACTACTTCCAAGCGCCTGCTACGCAGGCTAAACACGCTCAAGAATGGAAGCTCAAAGTATAAATGCACCAAAAAATCTAATATCATCATATTTAGCGGACCTTAGCGGTAATAGACAAAACAAAAACAAAACAAATTTCAAATGCGCAAATAAAATTATAGAAATTGGTAAAAACAAACATACCTAGAAATAGAAATGACATCATCTGGTCGTTACGCCTACGCAAGGGAAATTCTTAGTAAAACGGCTACCAAAATCGTCTTCACAATTTAACAATTACTCTCGAACATTGATTCTTCAGCGGTCGAGACAAGGAATAAACTTTTCGATGCCCTTGTTAAACCTGTACCACTTTACGGTTGTGAAATATGGGGACCAGAACTATTATCTTTTAAGACACATTTTGATAAAAGTATAATTGAGCAAGTTAAACAAACATTAAATGTCCCATGGTACACAGAAAACAAAGCCTGTAGAGCAGAACTTGGCCGATACCCTCTATCTATAGACATAAAGGCTTCCCTTTTACTGGCAAAGATTAGAACAAAAATCAGACAGCCCTCTCTTAAATGAAGCGTTTTTTTACGCAAGAAATCACTGTCAGTTTTATAGTTTATTAAATAGTGACGAAACAATCTGACAAATGCACTACAAAAACGAGGTAATAAAAAATCAGCAATGTGTTAAGAACACTCGTTCTAGCATTAAACAACAGTTGCAGAAAAAAGTTTTTTCAAGATTGATTTAAAGCTCAAAACGACTTTTCGGTTAGCTGTAGACAAAAGCATACAAACAAGGAAATTAAAAAAGATTATCGCATAGAAGAATACCTAAAGATAGTTAGAAATCCAGCTCATAGAATCCGAGTATGACTAAAACTGCGTTTGAGAGTTCATACTTAACGTATACAAACAGGGAAATATGAAGATAAAGGAAGCCTAAAGGAGTTTCTATATCAGTGGGGGGAAAGGCTTTGTTTAGTTTGCAAAAGAAACTGTATTGAAGACGAGAAACACTTCTTAATTGATTGTACCGAATACGATAGTCTTAGACGGAAACTTTGTTTTCATATCTTCTGAAAATGAAGCAAACTTCATCAATTTAACAGATAATGATAGAACGTTATATTTAATCAGATTAGACAATGACAATACTTCACAAGTTATAGCCAAATATGCCCATCTAATGTTTCAAAAACGAAAACAGATCCTCAGTCAAAAATCTAATTGATTAGTTAATTAAATTATAGGATAATTATTATCGAAATAGTATATGCCGTATAATTTTGTTGTTTCCGTTCATATTTTATATAATTTGTTGTAGTCATGAAAACCTTTTGTAACTAGACCAATGCCTTCCTTTGGAGAGTAAGGCGCAATAAAGATATACTATACTTGCCGTTATTGAGGTAAAAAATTAGTCTTTTAGTTGGAACTGAACACGGGGTGAGTGGTAAGACACAGTACAATAACAGTCAAATCCCGCTTTGTGGAAACCCGCTTAATATAGACACCTCATTATCACGGACATTTTGCTTTGTCCCTGGGGAAAGAAAGCCCCTTAACATTTTCTCTAAATTCAACTCGCTTAATACGGACACTTTCTATAGTCCCCTTTACTCCAGCTTAGTGTCCATATTAACGGGGTTTGACCATTAAATGACGCCCGTGAGAGAAAAATCTTATTTACCTGCCATATTTTTCATGCGCCGGAAAAATTATCTTCAATTTAAATTAATTAAAACTGTGCCCTATACTTTAAGATTGTTACAAAGTTATTGTGAGTGTTCACTGTTATGTACTAACCTCTTGTTAAGCTTGCAAACCCTGTACATAGCTTGTAAATGGTCAAAGTTCTGTGTCTCCACTTTTTTCACACGGGTATAATTTATATCTGTTTGTCTACCGAAAATAAAACTGACAAAAAAATTCTTCTTTCAGTTTCTATGCTTCAATACTTATCAGTCCACGTTCAAGCGGACCTTTTAATAGCTGACTATTGAAAGAACCTCGTGATATTGACCACTCCAGAAAATTCCATTACATACGATAATACTCTTTGTTTGTCACCTCAAATTTTGCATAAGCGTCGTTTTCAGTTTCTCTTGGGGCTATTTTAACTCCCAAGAGAAACTGAAGACGATGCTTATGCAAAATTTTGAAGTGACAAACAAAGAGTATTATGATATGTTACGGTATTTCTGGAGTGGTCAATTCGACATATTGACATGTTAGCGCCAATTAAAGCAGGTTATGAACTCATCATCTGTTCATCGTCCTTTTTCATTTTTCCCCATTTCCGAAAGTTTAAACATGTTTTGAGGCGCAAGTAGTATTGCGCATATATAGATCACCACGCTCATTGCCCTTATTCAAAACGTTAAATTGGCTTCCTGTCTATCAAGACGCGTACGTCAGCAGATGCACATTGATTCTCAAGAGAAGACTGACTCAGCAAAACTCCTGAATACCTGAAATCTTTGCTTCAACTGAATTCTGATGTCCACTCCAGAAACACACGTTTCAGCAAACTAAACCACTCTACTGAAGAGGGGCGAACGTTCTCAGTTAGATCAATGAAAGACTGGAATAACTTAGAGAAAGCGCTCAAAAACTCTAAGGACAAAAAAAGTTTCAAAAAGACACTAATAAACACTCCTGTAGAAAGGCAGAAAGAAACTAACATTTTCGGCACGCCATTTTAGATGGTTTATTACTAGATAAACTATGATCATGATCGCTTTACTAATTTACTTTTTAGAATAACATAAATAGTATTGTATGAATTATAAAGAGAGATATATAATCAATACTGAGTTATTTCTATTTCATTTTTGCATTTAAAAAATATTTTTAGTGTAGGTCATCGTTCATTTTTATATCTTAGGTTTTATTTTATAGAAGGCTACAGGGTGATCAGTTTCACTACTATCACGTTCTTCCCTCTTAAAATAAAGTCTGTTGATTGATTGTTGGCAGTGAAAGTGAAAGAGGTGATTTATGCTCATTCTGGAATTTGAGTGGGAAAATTGTTGCTACGTTTCATAATAAAACTTCCAACGTTCACAGTGAAAGCCGTTTTTTTTCTTCACGCTGGGTTTAAAATATCAAGCGCTCAGACACTTACTATACGAGATAGTAATCCGTCAGAAAGAAGCAGCCAAAGAAAACATCAAAATTGCCGAAAATGAGCGCCCGCGACAAGTAGTACAAGCCAAGGCTGAGAAAGAGGAAGCTGTAACCCAAGCAAAGATAACTGTTCAAAGAGCGGAGTCTGAGGCGAGATTGAGGCCCCGTCCACACGTATCCGGAGATTTTTGTATCCGCAAATTTTTTTATGCGGATACAAAAATATTTGCGTCCACACGTAGCGTATACGAATTGTATACGACCGTCCACACGTATCCGATTCGTATCCGGACATCTCAAAGGATTAGTCAACAGAGCATGCGCATTGAAAAAAAAGACTGGTTCTGATACTGTGACGTCAGCGTATACAAAAATATACGGATACGAGCGTCCACACGTATCCGGATACACAGCGTATGCAGAAATTTCCACTCTGGAGAGCGTATACAGAAATCTCCGGATACACCGAGCGTATCAGCGGACACGTGTGGACGCTACGTGTATCCGCATAAAAAGATTTGCGGATACAAAAATCTC